AAAAAAAAAAAAAAAAAAAAAAAAAAAAAAAAAGACTCAACTATTTTAGTATCCAATTTCTTGTACTAAAGTTTTAAAACATGGAAACATCAACTAAGTATAATTCCACAACTAGATCTCATTTCTTGATTTCACAGATAATGTCTCTGTTCCCGCAGAGTAACTGACAATGAGCTAGACACATTACTAATGACAAATAACTAATTAATTTTACCAAATGCAGTAAAATCCATATCTTCCAAATTATCCAAAATATTCTCTATTGAGGCTGTGAATCTCTTAAAAGTTGATGAGTCCATCATTTCTGCAAGAGAAAAAAAATCATGTCCATATTCCATGTAGTTAAGTGAAGGTGAATTCGATAAATAAAGACAAATTAAAAATATTACCTTCAGGTGTCAGTTTTGGCTCATAGGCTTTCCTTTTCTTCTGCTTTTCTTTTTTCTTCATTTTTCTAGCAACTAAAATGAACAAACAGAAATACTAAAATACAGTGACAATTCAAACTATTTTCATTTTTGTTCCTAATTTGTTTCTAAACATTAAATACTTAAAACAGTGACTACAAAACTACTTTTCTTAATTAAAATTCTGCAGTTGTTAATTAGCTCATACAATATAAAATATACTTCCAAATTAAACCCTCAATTTAAATCAGTTTATGTTAAAAAAAAAAAAAGTCCGTTGACACTGATCAATTACCCTCACTAAGGCTGGGAGGAGGAGAATAATCTTCCATGTCAGAATCTGATGGACTTCGGTTTCGATAACGACCACCACCTGAGCTCCTTCTTCCTTCATGAGAGTGGCCACTCCTCCTATGATCCCCAGAGCTTCTTCTGTCTCGCTCTTCATATTCCCAAGCTTTATCATCATCTTTTTTATGTCGTTTCCTAGAGGCTAGAAGCAAATCCCCATGACAAATAATTTACCTTATTTAAAAAGGCTACTAAAACTTAACTTTACAATGAACCAGCTGGGGTCGGGGCAACTCTCATGTTTGTCTAGGAAATTCTGAGTAAGACACAGAAACAGTACCACTAAGTTACCATGATTTATCTACAGCTAAAACTTTTTACATAAACTCATTTTGCTAATTAACAGATAGAAGGTTCTGGAAATTAAACCATAATGCACATTTCAATGAAAGGTATTGAGAACACTGGTAAAAATTATATGTGAACTTCATAGTTAATTAAGGCTAGTAAAACAAATTTAAGATCTGTAAGAAGAGAACCACATTAAAGCATTCAGATTACTGATGGGGAGCAGAATTTGGGGGGGTCTTTTGAGAAAGTGTTATAGAATATGGGTAACCAAGTATATCATCAAATTAATAAAGCTGAATTATATATTCAAAACTTAGCAATAAATTCCAGAGACTGTAAAGACCTAGTATCAAAAACCCACACAGACAGAATAAACCAACATTGTTGTAAATACTAATATGTTGAGTTTGGCTCTGTAACAATAGGCTTATTAAACACCAAAGAGAACCTTCTAAGCTTATGAATGTTATAGAAACATGTTTACGTGTGTTACCCTCAATCATTTTCCCCATCATTCTAGCAGTTTAAACATTCCGCTAAAATCACCAATATGGACTCAAGATTCTAGGTGGATGTGGCAACAGATTTTGTCTGACACACTCTGATCAACTGGTAATAGCATTAAGTTGAAACTCATTCTGAGTTGCCCAAAAGCATCACTGTGCAGCAAGAAAGGCTGATTAAAGTTTTCTGCAGTGAGAGCTGGAGGGTAGTGCAAATGTCAAATACTTACCACACCTGCTCTAGGGTGCAAAATATCACCAAGTTAAAATCAGGTTGAAAGCTGATGTGTCTTGTCTTGAGATCATATACTGGTTATTATAATAACTACCTGTTGCTGACAGCAATATACTTTCTGCTTTTTGCCCTTTTGCTTCCTTTTTACTTGATTCTTTTTGAAACCCTAACTGCAATAAATATACAAATACTTAAAGACAACTATTTTGAGTTCTCTACTTGTTCAGAGTTAAGGATGTCAATTTCTTATAGATCCATGCACTATATATATCTATACTTATGCCAATATCTTTGTGTGTGGATTATATATGTCTATATACTGGTTAATCTTACTCTTACATGCAGATCTAATTATTTCTATTACTAACTTAAGTTTAAGTCTCTGGTTCTGAACCATTCTGTTCAATTTATGGACAACAGGGTAGGAAAAAGTAATTCTGTTTCTAGTTCTTTGTATTCACAGTTCTGACATAAAGAGGACTCAGACAAGGTCAAGTAGGAGTGGATATATTTAAATCTTCAATGATTTCCTTCATTACACAGAAACACAGTTATAAAGTATGTTAGCAGAGGTCAGATTTTCCATCCTTCTAAGGGTATACTCTTGCATATTTCATTAATAACAGGCTGTTTCAAGTATTGATATAAGTAGGCATGGGAGCACGTGGTAGGAGAAAGGGAGGATAAGTTGTCTTTTTTTTTTTTATAACATTCACTAAATGTTTTTTCAACAAGTACTGAAATGTCTACCAAATAAGAAGGATGTGGCAACTAACAAGCAAACTTCTTTAGAAAGTACTATTCTGTGATCTTGGATGAGGTTATATGCTTATGAACAAAACTAATGTGATCTACTTCAGTCTCTCTACATTTTAATTTCAGAAGCAATTATTTCCAGCATCCAATCCGTGTGTAGAAAATGCTTGAACAATCTTGTACTCATTAGCAATTATATATAATATACTATATTGGTGATAATTGCCTATAGGCTTTGTGGATTTCTATTTTACATTCATTAAAGTTTATGCAGTTTAGATAAAAATGGGGTGAAAAAATCCAACTTCTGTGACATAGTGTTACAATGCAATTATCAGGATCCCAACTCACTGTGGATAGCTTGTTCTTTCTCCACTTCCCTAATTACTCAGAGGGAAGAGGAAGGGGATCAATGAGAGACACATAAATATGACGTAGGCATTTTTACTTTTCATTTCCAAGTTTCACCCCGATTTCTCTTTTGCTTACTTTATCTCACCTCTCCACCTTCATCAGGGCACCCAGTAACTTTATATTTATGCTAGGGTTCTCTGAATCTGTGTGGTTTAATCTTCAAAGTTACTTTGCAATCCTTTCCTCTATTTGTCAGTAACTCTTTTCCTTAGTATAGTTTAGGAAGCCATTTGATGACATAGCAAAATCTTAAAGCAGCACAGTACTTACAACTTATATTCCCATTATATTTTTACATTATGCATTGTACTATATTTTCATTATTGTTTTGGTTAGGGTATAATGACAATTTGTTGATGTCAACTACCAATTAGACAGTCTTCACCACTCCCATCTGTAGTCCCTTTTCTGTAGTTGCTTGTACTGAAATAAGTCAAGAAAATCAGGAAGCTACTGAGACTGCCTTAAAAATCTAGAGAAACTTTTACTTTTCTTAGTATAAGTGAGCCTTAGGTTCTCCAAGTTTTCAAATGCTTGGACATAGACTTAACAGCATCCAGGGCTTTAAAATGAAGTGATATACTCCTATAAAAAGAAACATTTCCCATAACAAAAAGTAAGTAAAAACGTAGTGGTTACACTGATGGCAGTACAAAACACATGGGACTCTAATCTCTTATTTTGTACTGGTTGGACAATTCCACTTAACTTCGAGATACCTTCAAAATTCACAATAATTCAGCAATGCAGGCAGCCACTGTCAATCAACAGAAATTGAAGTATAATTCAAAAATAAAACTGCAATTAAGGGACTTAACAGCTGTTCTAGAAATACTGATGTATTACGAGGAAGGAAAGGGAGTGGAGAAGCATATTTAAATGGGAGTTAATGGGCCAGCAAATTTCCTTTCTCTTTTCATGTTCCAGAACTAACCGTTGTTCCCATATGACCAAAATGTGAGATTATAATTTAAAAAATTAACTTTAGTCATTTTAATATACTGTGTGTAAATACATCTTATCATACAAGTTATAACAATCATACATATAATTAAATGTCAGGTTATCTTTGCTGTATATTTTATTTCAATTTAAAAACTTCAGATTTGTTCATTAATCATAATCTACTGTTCATAGCTCAAGAGCTCACAATTTAAAAAGATCAGAGTAAATGAACATTAGTTAAAAAGTTTGGAGGAGGTGAAGAACTTTCATCAACAATATACACTTAAAAATGGCAGCATGCATCTGTCCTTCCTGCCCTTGCTTGTCACACCTCAATCTATGGACACTAGGTGGAAAAGGTAGAACACACTGGTGGTCTTCCCACTTCTTTTGGTCATTATGACTAAGTCAGTTGGCACACAAGTGAAGATCTCCCATAGTCTGTTTCCACTGAATGCCGTTTAAGTCAAACAAGGTTGCTGACCCCTCTTGGCTAGGCTCAATTCTCTTGCTCCAGAAGAAGGAAGATAGGGATAAAAGAGAAGAACTTTTTCAGTGGACCAGTAGGAAGACAGGCGAGGTATAGCAAGTCTAGTGCAAAGACAGGTGATCACAGTGTTGTAGAGAGGTAGCTGTGTAGTGAAGAAGCCAGCTCTGGAAAACAGTGAAACAAGGGAGGAATTCCAGGACACAGCTGGGCAAAAAGGAGAAGCCAGGTCCAAACCACAAAGATAATCCACAATGTGGCTAATCCATTCACAATTTAGTGATAGTATGGTTTTAAATATTTCTTCATCTGGCTATCTCCTACGTGTCCTTCAAGACTCGACTCAAGTGTCACCTCTTCCAGTAAGCATTCTCTGAACCCCCACTCTGATTTGGATGCCAATCCAATGTGTTCCCACAGCACCCTGGATTTACTTTTACAACTATACTATAATAATTTATTAACATATTTCCCCCAATAGACTGAAGACTCTGAGATAGGGGTCATATTTGTATTTTCATTCTCAGTGCCTGGCATATACTAAGAGTTCAATAAATGTATGTATGTTAAATACACACAGATACATACCTGGTCTCTCTCTCTCTCTCTCTTTTTTACACTAATTGTAGCTTATTTGAATTTTTTTCCTTGGTGCCAACTGATCCCACCTTTCATACAATTTTTTTTACAAGTACAAATAAAAAAAAAAAAAAACCTTTGTATACTACATCATTAAGAATTAAATTTACTTTGCTTTTGTTAACCCCCAAATTATGAGACAAACACATCAATCTACCTTTTTAATTTTTAAAAAAAGTTATATAATACTTACACTCAAAAGCTTCATCACTATCATTATCTTCATCTGAACTGATTTCAGCATATTTTGGCTTTTCATTAACTGTGCTACGCTTGCGTTTGTTCATTTTCACACGTTCACAAAGTGGCATGGTAGATTCAATTTCTGCCAGGAGTTCAGGGGGTAATTCTTTTAACACTGATTGATCTATACTACCTATTAATGAAAGGTAAGAAATAATTTATATCTGATGATACAGGAATAACTTTCACCAAATTAGCACAATAATAAATTAGAACTATAGTTGTTTTGTCACTTAAAAATTGTAATACATTTACGTGCATTTACATAAACACACACATATACATATACACAAATAGAACACATTACCATAAAAATTCAGCACTGTTCCACTGATTTTTGACACAATACCTGTATTGGTCTGCACTTACTAAAAACTTTCTGAAACCGGAGATGCAGATATTAGAAGCAGATAGCACTTCAGTTTCTTGATAGTACCACATCCAAATTTGTTTTCTGGTGTCTGGAGTTTACATGTCTATCTAGTCTGAAACTAATCTATTTAGCAGAAATGATAAGAGTTGGAGTATACTTACCATCTCCTTCTTATGATTTGGCAGTTGTGTAGGTTAGCTTGGACATAAGACTTATACAATATGCTGTTTTTATCTATCACTGTCTATATGAGTAGTATGTTAATGCCTTTATAATTGTGGAAAATTTTAAAACAGATAAATTATTTGTTTTATCTTGATTCTGTCAGAAACATGGAAAGTGGGATAAACAGACCAAATAATTTAAAATATAAATGCCTATAACTGAAAGGAATATTCATGTCAGTTAAGAAGTTTGTAATTTCCCACAAAAAGTATAAAGAAATACTAACATATTACAATAAGATTCATTAACATCATACTACCAAAACCTAGGCAATATACATATATAGAACAGACACAGTTTCTACAAAGAGATGATTTATGAGAATTTTCTTTCTTAAAAATCTATTTGGCAGAGGGCCTCACTACACTGCATGGACTCGTAGTGATCCTGTTTTCAGCTGGGATTACAGGCATGTGTCACCACACCTGGAGGTGGCCGAAGTATACCGGGGGTGGGGCCGGCATGGTCTGTGGTGCTAGAGATTGAACTCCGGTTCCTGTGCTTGCCTGAGCAGGTTCTTAGTCCACTGAGATATTTCACTGTATACCTCCCTCCCCATCTTATTAGCATTTTCTTGACAATTTAAAAATTAAAAAGAAGTAGCAAAAGCTATTTGCTCAGGAGAATTTATGCTTGATGACTTAGAGGTAACAATTTTAAGTTACTGGGCTGGTATTACATGCTGCGCAGCCCTGCCCACAGGGCGGCCAGAATCCCATCGTGGTAGTGCATGCCTGTAATCCCAGCACTGGGCAGACTGAAAAGCAGGAGGATCACCATGAGTCTGAGCTGCGTAGTGAGACCCTATAACAACCAAATACATATAAATTTTTTAAAAGTTATTTCTTATGTAAATCTTTGGATGGGACTATAAAAATGAAGCCTTACCTGGTAAATTTTATGAATTAGGAAGAGTGTATTTTAGTGGCTTATAGCAGAAAATATTAACAATTTTAAATCAACATTAACACTATCCTTTGGAACATTTAAATAACAAGAGTGGTTATATGAAGAATAAAAAAAATCTTGACAGAAAAATATATAGGTAGCAAGACATATTTCAAATCTCAAGAAAACACAGTCAAATAATTCAAGCTATACAACATAACAAATTAACCTCAATGGAAGAACCACCCTTTATTCTTTTGAAGCTTTGATATTATGAAAAGTTGTTTCAGTAGCTATCTTCTGTTCTTCTAAATATATGCACGACAACAATTTTACCCAACTTTTGGTGCCTGTTAATATCTTAAAGATTTCATTGAGAATCCTTAATCATTAACGACATAATTTAACATGTTATGTACTGTTTTCTTTGTACAGCGGTACCTTAGTTCATGAACTATCTCGTTTGTGAGCAACACGGTTTAAAAATAAAATTTGTACTTCGCAAACTATGTTGGGTGATAAACATGACTGTGGCCATTTTTCCTGCACCAAACACAAACTTGGGTACTTTTCCAAAATCAAACAAATTAAGTTTATAGAACAAGGTACCTTTGCACTGAGTTTGTTAACTGAAATTTTATCTGAGAATGCCTTTTTAAAAGAATATTGGTAGGATAAATCAATTTTAGCTTTGCATTGTCATTATCTTCAGCTCCAAGCTAAACATGTCCTACATCTATTATTTAAACTTTCAATGCTCAAAACACCTTTAATTAAGCATACGTTTTTTTTTTTTCAAAATTTTATTGATAAACAGCAATGAGACAATTTCAAATCAAATCGGAAGTACAGTTTCAACAAATAATACACTGCATATATTCTTCTTAGTGGTTAACTGCTGTACAAGATGCGGACTTGAGATCCTATTTACAAACACCATTAGAACAAATCATTCTATTCATTAAGAGAATGCAACTATATATCTATCCTAATGACTTTGAATACACAGATATAAAATGGACATTCATCTGTATACCCCATTTTTTCTAAGTTCCGTTATTTGAATATTATAGGTGTGTAAACTCAGCAAAATATTCTAAGAGTCCAGTAGCCCATAATAGCATTGGGTCTTCTGTTTAACTGGCAATGTCAGAAATTATTGACCTGAGTCCCCCACAGTTCAATATAATAACATGGCTTTACTTCCTATATTTCGTCTTCATACTTTTCTGCTGGATGGTTAAGACCAAGGTAAAGCAGGACCTGTGCAACAAGAGTTGTAGCTTTTTGGTCTGAGAAGGTCAGTGAAATGCCCTCAGGATTTATCCTGAGATCCTGTACCTCAGATTGTAGAACCTTTGTCAGTGCAGCCATGTGGATGAGTCACGGCCATTGCTTGGCCAATGTGCTCTCTGTGAAAGCCTGAGAGTGTTTTCTCCCCATGTGACTCTCCTTAGGCACACTCTACGTCATCGATCACTTTCCTCTTTGGCCCCATAATCTCCTTGATCAGAAAATTTGGGACACTACCGAGGTACATGATGTTACAGTACAAGTTCTCATATGTCCTGAGTCTTAATTGACCTTAGAAGGTTAGGCCCAAAATGTTGGCTTTCCTTGCAGCCCTCCTTTTTCTCTAATTTTGGTCTGCAAAACTAGGTTGTTAACCATCCAGAAGACAAGCTTATTGTTATCAAACGATTTAGGCTATTAGGCTTAACCTCACTATCTCACTGCATTTCAAACATCTTAGGCATAATAAGAAACAGGTATTTTTCATCAAGTATTGATATACTGAACTTTAAGTCCCTGCATAATAAAGCATACGTTTTTGATGGAGACTTTTTAGTATGTATCTTCCACTTTCCACATAAGCTATAACTACGTGTGCATATACAGAAATGGTCGACAAATGCTTTGACTGTTTAATGATGATTCATCATTTATGCTTACTTACAAAGGTACTTCCCTTTATAGCTTGCAAATTGCTGTATTTTATAGACAAATGAGGATATTTTTGAAATCTTTAAACCCGGGAAAAGTTTTGTAGCATTTAGAACATTTTAATTCCTTTGGTTATGGGTAACACAAATAAATTTGTCCTTTTCCCCAAAACTACAGCCCTCATTTGTACTGGACACTGAAAATAAAGGCTTACATATATATGAAGACTGATCAAACTACATAATCAATGTTTAGATTAAAAAAAATTAGAGTGAAGAATACTGACATTAATCTTTAAAATAATCCCCTTGATTCAAATGCATTCATTCCATTGTTCTTGCTATTTTCTAACACAGTTTTATAAGTTCTCTTTCATAAATGTCTTACACAGTTGCACTGCTGTGGCTGCCTCAATGAATTTAAAACACTGACATTTCATGGTTATTTTGAAATTGAGGAAGAGTAAAAAGTTCCATGGTCCCAGATCTGGCACATAAGGTGGATGTGGACACATTATGTTTTTATGAGCCTGCCTTTCTTTCCATTAGATGGCACTTGGCAACAACATTTGCTGGATTGCTTTTCTTTTTTTCTTCATATCTAATGAAGATATGAAAGATGACTTCCAGAACTGCTTCAAAAGTGGCAAAAATGATGGAATATGTGTACCTGCATGAAAGGAGTATCCTGACTAGACTAATAACAATATGTCTTGTACTACTGTAAATTTTTATTTTTATTTTATTTTTTTAAATAGGCTACCAATGTAACTATTTCATTTATTTATTTATTTATTTGTTTGTTTGTTTGTTTGTTTATTTAGCGGAACCGGGGACTGAACTCAGGCCCTTGCGCTTGCCAGGGAAGCACTTATTCCACTGAGCCATCTCCCTGGCCCCTACTGTAAATTTTTAAACTTTAGACACATTGTGTTTTTTGATCATCCTTTGTAAATACATGCTTTACCATTGAGCTACATACCCAGCTGCCAGCAAAGGAGTTTTCTTTTTAAATCCTAATGTTTTTCAGAGTTTAATTCATGTCACAAAAATATACGGGCTTGACACTAATAATCCAGAATTAATATAAATTGCCTGAAAATGTCAGTCTCTGCTTTCTTCTTTATCTTCTTACAAATAATCCCCAAAATAGCCAACATAAGAAAAACCTGTTTTTATATCTTATCTGGTAATGCTACTATTAATGTTCATGGTAGGTTATCCACTCTTATTAAATTAACAATATTAACAAATTTAAGTAGCTTAATATTCTCTTGCACCTCTATGCACCTTTGAAAGTTACACTGCAACAATTCAAAGACCATATATATGATTTATTTCTGAAGATGATCGAACCTGGGGGGGGGGGCCTCTAGCAATGGTTAATGTACTGTCCTCCAAAAAAGAACCTAGTTTCATTCTAAATGGAACTATCTATTCTACAAGGTTATATGTTTTCTGAAGGAATCACATCTTTTCTTTTAACAAACTGACACAATCACATCCCTCATTTAAAAAGACAAAATAAAATATAACTTCCTTTATATTCTGTCCCCAGGATCTTCAATACATTATCAAGGATCCAAAGAACTGCTTGAGTTTTAATAAAAATGAATAAATAATGAATACTTAAAATTACCAATATGATGCATGTATTTATTTACATTCTTTCTCATGAGTTAGGAATTGTCTCTTCATGTAAAC